GGGGGGTTCGAGAAAACGTTCCTCTGAAAAACCTTTGAAATTTACGTTACTTTATGTCAGTATCTGTTCCATGCTTGTTCGAAATTTTTCAAACACACTTGGCGTTGTAAGTTTGTGCCGCTATACTTCTTTACTTATGACATTTTCATTCAGCCAGGTACACCATCAAATTGATCAAAATGTCAAATGTATAATAATAATGAGAATTGAAGTCATGGGCGTACCGGAAGGAAAAAATTAGGGGGGCGGAAAGAAAATTGCCCGACTTTTCGGATTCTGCCCGACTAGTATCAAAAAAATTATTTTGGCGACCCCCCCGCCCCCCTTGCCAAAAAATTGACTTAATTTTAGACAAAATTGACTTAAATTTAGACAAAATTAACAGAATTTGTCCCATTTTTTTTATTGCAAGCCAAAATTGCCCGACTGTTGATCGAATATTGCCCGACTGCCCAAAAAACTGGGGGGGGGCTACCGCCCCCCCCCGCCCCCCCGCCCGGTACGCCTATGATTGAAGTTATTTCGTTTCAGATATATTAATATACTTACGGAAATAATTGAAAATAATTTCCCTTTCCCCCCAGAATTTGGGCGTCCAAAGGCGTCCATTTTTCGTTCTATGGGCGTCCCAGGACGCCTAGACGCCCTTCTGGCACCAACACCTAACCTGAAGTTCAGGTCCTAATCACATGGGCCCTCTGACATGGGCCAATGCTATCCTAGCCAGCACACAGGCATTGCTCTGGGTACGAGATTGTGGGCGTATCGGCCGGGGGACACAGACCCCCCCCCCCCCCAAATTATTTACGGTCGGGCAATTGAGCAGAAATGGCCAGAAATCCATTCGTGCAAAACATATAACTCTCATCAAAGTTGATAAGAAGAACCGCGATCTACAATGAATAATTAAATATAATAATGCTAATATTAATTGCTTCTAATTGCTTCTAATATACTTTGCCATATATGAAGAACACCTGTATATGAATGATGGCTTATAGCAAAGATTATGAAGATTGCAGAAACATTGAGCCGATTGTTCTTAGTTTTTGTCTTAGTGTTCCTAGACATTTCGATTAAACTTCTGCTATATTAAGCAGCCTTTACACAATCATACTCATTTTTTATAAAAACACATACAAATCCAGGGCCTCCCCCCTTGTGCCCCCACGAAATCACATTTTACCCCCCCCCCCCTATCTTCGAAATTATTGCACTAAATCAAAAAAATCTTTTGAACTTATTAACTAATTCTCTGCGCTCTTTTCAAATCTATAAATGTCCCACAAGTGATATTGGCACTTTAATTGGGCTAATTTCCACTCAGGAAAATTATCCGTGGATTGGAAGGGACAAGAAAATTTTTCTTTGTATTAAAGTCATTAGTTCCAACCCAGAGCTCACAAGACAAAGAAAAATTTTCTTGTCCGTTCCAATCGACCGATAATTTTCCTGAGCGGAAATTAGCCTTTACTTTGGCCACAGCTTGTCGAAGGGAAGTAGGCTGTGAAACTCATTAGAATAACAATGTAACTCATTATCTAAGTCAGTCAACGTTTATTCATAAAATCTGGTCCTTCATCGTCACGTGTGTATTGTATTTTTGCCCAACTAACCAATAGCAATGTTCATGGACGCCGGAACGATGTGAAGGCAAGGGGGGCAGATTTTCGTGAAAGGGCACTTTTGAATTGATATATACAATTGAATTGATATATTTGCAAAACATCGGAAGTTGAACTTCGCCTAATCATGTTTTCTATTTATTGGATGATAGGGGTGTCAGGGGTTTCTCCGCCAGGCGATTGTGCTATTCTTGAAGCTCGATGACTGCATTTCTTGCGTTTTCTGAAGCAAATTCGCAAAAAGAATCGCACTAACATTTCTGACAATTCGCTATTTCGCCAAGGCAATCCTTTAAATTGAAAGGGCACCTTTGCCCCCCCCCTTGCCCCTCCTGGTAAAGGGCAACGGGGGCGGCTGCCCCTCCAGTTCTGGCGTCCCTGGCAATGTTTTAGGATAGTTACCTATCTGTGACTCGAACAATAGGTAAATTGGAAATTGCTATTGGTGGATATAAAAAAATACAATACACACGTGACGGTGAAGGACCGGACTTACGAATAAACGTTGACTAACATTAGACGAGTTATATTGTTATTCTAATGAGTTTCACAGCCATCTTCCCTTCGATAGACCATGCTTTGGCTAACTTTGTATTTAAAAATTTGCATTTAAATCTTAATTTTAAATAAGCGCGGCCATTATTCCTTGCGAAACACGAAAAATCTCAGAGGAATGGGGCGAGCTTATTTAAAAATGGACATTTAGTGCATTCTACATGTACTGTAATTTTGGACTCTATGGTAAGATATTAAATAAACACACGCACGTATATTTTAAACACGTTTATTATACGTAAACTTCATTTACAATTATTAGAATTTTATTTCCTTTTACATTCGTAGCTTACTTAGGAATCGACGACACTAAATTAAACTCTATTAGTGATATATGATTTGTATCGACTAAATTATATATTGTCTGTCCCTTTGACGGTTCTTATCATATTGTATTCAAATACAAGTTTTAAGTTGGGAATTACGAATTATTCTACATGCAGAGGGTTCTAGATTTTTATCGTTCTCGGTATAAAAGATATTACTTTTCTACAGGATAGTATATAAAGATCCCTTGGGCAGGGAAGTCGATTGCAAACTTCATTGGAAAAGAATGCAGTTTAAAGACAAACACAAATAACGTTACATACAAAGTCAAAGAAGAATTGAAATGGATGAGATGCATATACATGCACCTTTTCAAAGCAGTACGTACAAACATAGAAGACCTACAACAGTGATGATGAAATAAACTAATACAGACTTCACATTAAACATATATTGATTACTATAAGGTCACAACCAAGAGGCCACGGAAGCATTTCGAAGGTGGAGGGCATTGGCCAAAAGGGGCACTTTTGTATATGACGAAAATCAAACGATTTTAATGGCGTTCACGAGCCGAACGAAAATTTTTGAAACTAGAGGGTTTAGCTAGCTCGCGTTATACGTCATACGGCAAACGCCAGGCAAAGAAAGGTATCAGGCAATAAAGAGTAAATAAACTTGCTGTTTTAAAACTGAAATACATAATTATTCTTTCGACGCAAGAAAGAAAATATGAAACGAAAACGTTCAACGAATATTTTGCCAAGAAAGTTCGAACCTGCCGTTTGCCGTTCCCGGAAACGTGAAGCTTAAACTCCCTATTATGGACGCTCTTATAACGTTGGAAATGGCCTTTATAGAGTCTTTACATTGCAAAAATGGCACTTTCTTTCCAGAAAAACCATTCGACTCAAGAAATACTTTTTTCGTTCTTTAAATGGGGTACTTTATGACACTTTTTCACTCATAAAAGTGACGGGCACATATGCCCCTTTTGCTTCCCCCGTTCCGCGACCCCTGGTCATAACACGTATTGACACAAAACGTTCACATCAAATCACATGAAAACCAACAAAGCCTTTTTATTTTTAATACTAGCTACTTGGTCTTATTTCAGACGGCGTGCTTCATAAAAGAACAGCGAAAGTCTTCTTCAAAATTTCGGCAAATCAAATTTCGACTAGATATACATGCATGCTTGCAGCAACCCCTCGCCCTTTTTGACAGAACATCCAAAACGTTGTTTCAGTAGTATATGAACATTTAATCATATTTTTTTGTGCTAAATGGCAAAAATAAAAGGAATGACACTTTACTATGGATACTTCAATTTCGGAGTTTATATAAACAGTTTGAATGCTTAAAAATTTTACGTGTCTTTGGTCATGATTTTTGTTGTTAACTATATTATTCACAGCACTAACTGCGAACAGGCATACTCTGGCGCCCGGAATTCTGGGTTTTATGATTATGCGTGTCTCAGAATGCTGCAAATGCCATTTCCGGGATTCAAATTTTAAAATATTCCGTGCCTTCAGCACGACCCTCCCCCCGGTGGCTTCAAAAGTCTCAAAACTGTTTATTCTACCGATAAATAAAGGGTTTTTTATTGACTGGGATTTCAATAACTCGGACTGGGATTTCTAATAAAAATCCAACTGGGACTGGGATTTTGCCAAAATTTCAGGTGGGAAATGGGATTGGGACCCCCCTTCAGGACCCTCTT